GCAGAATTCTCAGAATAACAGTGCTGAAAGGTGAGCCCTTCACGAGGTGATTCATGGGTGGGATAATGTAGTAGGAACTTCCTTTCCAGCCTTCAGAGCTATGACAAGTAAACCTCTACTCTCGATAAATGACCGTGTTCTGGATATTCTAACAGCGCAAAATAGACTAAGATAATACTCTAAATATATGTGTGTTGAAAAACAGGTGTCTATTGAAATGCTATTTTTAAAACTTAAATGACTTGTAACAATACTACCAGGGCTTAAAATAAGCAACAACAGTTTCTTGCTTTCATATAATACAAATTCCCCTTTAAAAATACCCAGGCATTTTATTATTCTTTCTAAATTTTGTCTCATCCCCTAAGTTTCTGAAATTTCCTGCACGTTCTGCTCTCTATTACACTAATCTCACAGAAGATGGAGTCCTAAGACCCTGAGAAATCCCACCTTTTGATGCTCCAAATTTTATTCTCCAAGTATAAAGAAAGGAATGCTGCATATTATTTATAATCCCTCAATTTTTTTATTGCTCAGGACACTCATTCATTCAACAGATGTACTTCTATGTGCTAGGCACTGTTCTGGTTGGTGGAGATAGGGCAAAACGAAGCAAAATCCCTCTTTTATTTTAATGTTTCTTAGATTTCAGTGTGGTAGATCCCATGGAGAAAAGAGAAGGCAGCGGAAGGATAAAAAGTCCAGGCAGTCTTCCATTTTATAAGCTTACATATCACATGGTTTCTTCACAGAGGAGACTAGCAAGCCCTAACTGATAGGTGAGTAGATCTTAAAAAAGAGATAGCCATATGGATATGGGGAGTCGGAGGTGCTTGCTCTCCACCAGTGCAAAAGCTCTGAGAGAGGCATGCGATTGAGTATTCAAGAACAGTGAGATTGTTAGGGTGATAAGTGTGAAACAGGCCCAGGCAGAAAGTGGTAGTAGATGAAATTGGAATTGTAGCCAAGGGCTATCACGTAAGGTCTGAGGGACCTTGGGAAAGATTTCACATTTTAAGGCTGGGGATTTAGCTCAGTGGTGCCCTGCCTGCCTGGCAAGTACAAGGTCCTGAGTTTGATCCCTAGTAGGTACTTAAAAAAAAAAAAAGATTTCATATTTTATCTTAAGTGATATGAGAGACTGGTGACAGGAAGAGGAACAACGTGATCTGACATGTTGAAAGAACCCCTCTAGCAAGCTGTGAAGAATAGATTACAAGGTAGAAACAAGGAGATTAATTAGCTTGCTGTTGGGGTGGTGCAGGTGACAGATAGTAGTGTCAAGTAGTGAAAATGATGAGAAGTGATTCGGTTCTGGGCATTTGCCAAGGCAGAGTGTTTATACCTTTACAAAATTTAAGTATAGATAACAAAAGTTAAGGGTGTTACCTTAACAAAATACTTGAAATCATTAAGTTATAAAGTCAAAAACAGATTTTCTTTAGCTCATAGTTATTGAGGTTCTAGTCTAGTGGTGGCGAGCCCATGGCACATGTGCTGCGGCCAGCTGTTTGTTACTACTGAAAGCTCTAAAAGGTTTGCCATCACTATTGTAGTCTAATATTGGGTGGTTCCTTGCTTTAGGCTTCTGGTGAGGGCACCAGATGGCAATGGCAAGGAGCATGTGGTGGAGTAAAGTACTCACATCAAAAGCCAGGAAGAAAAGAGAGACAAGGAGACCAGTTCCACATTACCTTTGAGGACATCCTCCCAATGACTTAAAGATCTCTCATAAAGCCTCATCTAAAGGTACAGAGCACTTCATAATAGTGCCACGCTGGGGACTAAGCTTTCATGTGTGGACGTTTGTGGGACACTATCCTTTTTCAAACTGCAGAACAGAGTCAGTAGAATTTGCTGATTGGTGAAAATATGCATGAGAGAGTGGAGTTAATGTTCATTCATGTTTTCTCACCTGAAAAACTGCAGTGTATTGGCACAAGGAAGACAGATTGAAGAGGAGGTAGGAAACAAGAGTTTGATTTGGCATCTGTGAAGTTTTAGATGACCGTTAAACATCTAAATGATGGTGGCTGGATATTCCAGATGTTAATTCAGGAAAGAGACCATCAGAACAGGGAAAAAAAATTGAGTATGGCAAAGCAACAGACTGAATGTGAGACAACCAAAGAAATTGGGATAAAGAAAGTATTAAGTCTAAGGACCAAACCTAGAGACATGTCAATGTGTATAGATAGGAGGGAATTTATAGCAGCAATCGAAAGAGAACAAGAAGCCTTAGGAAAGAGACAATCAAGGATGAAGGACTTCCATGGGCCAAACTTTCTCAAGAAAGAGGGAATGATTAGCCAGTACATTGCAAATCTGCTAATACATTTTTATTTTACAAAGACAGTTTACCTTCTATTTCTGCATTGCTTTTTCAGTTTCACCCTCCACATTCTCTGATGGGGGAAATCTCAGAATTTTTCACTGATCTCATCCCACCTCATCCAGGCCCCTTCTCATTTCATAATAGTTTCTATCTACATCTTCCCAGAAACCTTGGTTTGGTCATTTGTAGGAACAAGGAAGAAGAGTGAAATTGTTATTTGTGAGATTAAACTATCTGCTTCGAACGCATCTTTAGGTCAGTTTCTAAAGAACTGCTCCTTCATTCTCATTCTGTTTGCAAAAAAAAAAAAAATTTAGGAATAAAAATCCAGCATTGTGAAACTGCTGTTTCTACCATTGCCCACTTCTAATAGCATGGTAAAAACTGGCCAATATGTTATAACATAAAGATCACTGAATTTGAACTTGTAGATTCCTCTGGGCTTCCTATATCATCATTTGAACATCTGTCTTTTCTTTTTTTAATTTACATTCATCTTTGTTACTTGTCTCATTGCTTCGGCCAGATATCAATTAATTAATGAATATTATCAGTGACTGGGGAAATTCTTGTTTGCTCTTGACTTTAATAGTATTGCTCCTAACAGTTAATTCAGCATTTAGTACAACGTCTGCTATACTTTTCTTACCATTTGAGAAGGGAGGTGCTGGGACTTGAACCCAGGGCTGCACACATGGTAGACAAGTGCTCTGCCGTTGAGCTATATCCTCTAGCCCCTACACATTTTTGAAACTTTGCGTGTATGTTGAATTTTATTGAGATTTGTATTGTAACTTCTAAGATGATTACATGTTGCTTTGCATTTAATCAATGTGATGAATTTTAGTTTGGGGATATAGATCAGTGGTAGAGTGTGTGCCTAGCATGCAGGGTTCTATCCCTAGTCCTCTCCCCAAAATGATGGATTACGCTGGTAAAATTTTACAGTATCGGCCTGTTCTCACATTCCTGGGGGGCTCTTGGGAGTGCCACAGAGCTCAGGGAATCACATTTATTGGGTTATTGTAAAGGGTATTACAAAAGATTCAGTGAATAGCCAAGCAAAGGGCAAGGTCCAGAAGGGTCCTGAGCACCATGTGGAGCTCAAGTGGGCCACCCTCTCACCTGTGAATGTGATCACCAATCCAACGCTCTCTGAATTTCATATTTTAGGAAATTTTATGGAGACCTTACAATATAAGCGTACTTAATTATTTCTTGTCTCCAGCCTTTCTCCCCTCCACAGGATGGGAGATTAGGCTGCAAGTTTAAAGCTTTCACACATGACTTGGTCTTTCAGATCACAAGCTCCCATCCCGAAACTACCCAGGAACTCATCAAGAGTCATCGCATCAAAACAAAAGATGCTTTTATTACCTTGGAAATTACAAGTGTTTTAGGAGTTCTATACTGAAACCGCACACAAAATCCAAATTTCTCTTATCATGCAGTGTGCATATTTGTTAATTCTTATTTCTAACAAATGAATCCCTTTGTCATGGAATTTCTCTTTTGTTCTAAAGTTAACTTTATCTGCTATTTATGGAATTGCTCCAGACTTCTATCTAGTGGCTGAATAGTATAATTTTGTTCATCTGTTTACTTTTAGCCCATCTATACCTTTAAAGTTCACCTCTTGTTAATGAGACAGTTCAATCTTAGTTTTTCTTTTTATCCATTTTAATAGTCTTTGCCTTTCAATTGGAGTGTTTGGTCTGCTTACACTTAGTATAGTTATTGATGTGGTTAGGTTTAGGGCTACCATTTTACTGTATTTTACATTTGATTGTTCTCTTTTTTAAATTTTTTTTGTTGTTGTTTGTTTTGGTACCAGGGCTCGGGTCCTTGTGCTTGCCAGTCAGGTAGCAGAACAACTGAACTAAATCCCCAGCCCTTTCTTATTCTCTTTTTTGGTTTCATCATTTTTCCTTTCTTCCTTTTGAGAAGTTATTATTTTTAGAATGTTTTTAGAATTCTATTTTGTGACTTTGCTGACCTTTTAACTATTTATATTTCAATTATTTTCTTAGTATTTTCTCCTTATTGGCCATTTGGATATCCTTTGCTGTGATATATTTGAGTCTATTGACCATTGAGTTATCTGCCTAATGTTTTTTAAAAATTTGTAGGACTTTTTTATATTCTAGATTTAAGACCCTCTTGCGATATGAGTTATGATTATCTTCTCCCACTCTATGACTCAATTTTCATTCTCATAATGGTTTATTTTGGTGAAGTATGCTGTAAGATACTCTTAGCCTTTAATTTATCATCTCTGAAATAGGGCATACAATTAATATCTCTCTCACAAGATTGTTATGAAGAATGAATTAATGAGTGCATTCATGGATCTTGACATTTAGCAAAGTTCAATAAATATTCTCCCCAGTGCCACCCTTTTGTCCCCTGCCTAACTTTCTATTTTCTCTGTTTCTATGTCTCTGAGAAGTCATGTTGCATAACAGAAAAGGCAGACCATACTACCACAATCAGCTCTTAGCCTGTCTATGAATCTATTTGAAATAAAAATTAAAACTCCAATTTTAAGATTCTGTTCCTTCTTTAGTGTAGTAAGCATGACATGTTCTCACGTGTCAGCTGCAATAACCTGGTTTACTTAAACCCCAGTTGGGAAAGCAATGTGAGAAAAAGTGGTTTCATTTTAGTGGCTGACACCCAGAGAACGATATGGCTGCTTCCCCAACACGACTCATGCTAATCTCTCTCCTCTGCCAGCTGACAGGTGAGTCTAGCCAGACCTTTTCCATTCTGCTAGCTGCCTTCTTGATCCTGAGATATAGCTCTGGGCTCCTGGGTCCACTCTGGGCCTGGCTCAACTCAGAAGGCTCTGCCTCCTCAGTTAGCCCTGCTCCTTAAAAAAAACCAAAACGATCTCTGGTCCTTGTGCAAGAAGAAACTATAGAGGGAGGGAAAAGGAAGCTCTAGGGACCATCTTCCTTTCTGACTGGCCCAGGAAAGAAGAGCTACTGGGTATGAGAAGGCTTATGTTCTGCCATGAATTAGATGGGGATTGTCAAAGCTCTCCTGGAGCTCAGTCTTTATCTTCCAGCCTCCTTCCCTTTGAAGGCAACTTCAAAGCAAAATCATATGGGTGTGAATTTATTTATTTATAAATAGATTTTATTTAAATGCCTTTTATGTTTTACTGATTATGCATAACAATTCTATTGATATAAGGAGTCATTTGAAGTTTTCTCTCTAAATGCAAAAAGTCCAATCACTCTTTATTCAGAAAACGAATTCTTCCTATGGGCATGGTATGTTCAATCACATAGAGGTCTGAAGAATTTTGTGTACCTGCTATGATATGATAGTCCTTGAAGATTTTCCTGACTTCAGTGTTCTCAGAAAGAACCAAGAGCCCCCTAGGTGAGAAATATCTGTCCTATCATCAAACTCAAGGACTTAGCAGAGCTATTCATTATGTGCACCCCACGTCTATCTAAAATGACTTGTCAAAGCCACACAGGCAATAAGCACTCCCCAGGCTTTTCTCCCTTCACTCGGCCTCACTGAGCAGTCTACATTTGCAGACTCACCACTCCCTGAATTCATCAGAAGTTTACATTGTTAAGAAACACTTGAATCTGCCAAGCCTGAGGCGCATGCTTCTAAACCAAGCGTTCGGGAAGGCTGAGGCAGGAAGGTTATAGGTCTGAGCCTAAACTAGGCAGTGTAGCAATTTAACAAGACCCTGTTTCAAAATTAAGAAGGAGAAAGAGAATGAGAAACAAAGGAGAAGGAGAAGGAGAAGAAGAGCAGCACCTGGTCCTTTGCAGGTGGTCTTGAAATAGGCTTATTTTAGAAGTCTCTGAACTGAAACGATGACCAGAAATAGAACTCAAAGGTGAGGAGGGGAAGGAGATGCTGGGGCTTTAAAAACTCCCAGGTGTCCATGTGAAATGCGAACTTTGTAAAAGGAGGTACAAACATTAAACTCTGCCATAGGGACCTCTTCTGCCCTGCTCAGGGAGGCTGTGAACAGTCAGAGAACCCCGCTATGACTGAAAGCAGTCAGAGATTGTCCTAGAGCGGGGATGGTGAACCCGTGGCAGGCACGTTATTTGTCTTTCTTTCAAAATAAAAGATATTAATGTATGAGCTGTTTTTCTTAAACTAAAATCTCAGGATTCAAGATTAATTGCAGTGTTAGCACTGTGTAATAATTAAGTGGGTTCGGGGTTGGAATTTGGGCACCTGTCTCTAAAAGGTTCACCATTACTGCCCTGGAGCCTCCAGCAAGCAGGGTGGTAGAAGGAGTGCAGATCCTGGACAGGGATATCCTGGGTTTGATTAGTAGCTGTGTTACTGTGTGCAAATTATGTGTCCTCTGAGCCTTATTTAATCTTCTCAAGTGCATAACAGGCAAGGGAATTTAACTTGGCAGAATTATTGTGATGTTTTAAATGAGATATAAAATGCAAAGTAATTTTAATAGTAATCAGCATTTACGCTCCTACTCCGTCCAAGGTATTTTTCATACCATCTCCTTATAAGTCTATAAGACAGGCATCATTATCCCTATTTTACATGTCAAGAAACTTAGGCTCAGAGAGATCAGGTTTCATGGGCAAGACAGAGCCACTGAGAGGCATAGCAGACCCAGGACTTTGGTCAAGGTAGGAGGATGACATGTTGGATGCCAGCCTGGTCAGCTTAGTGAATTAATGAGATCCTGTCTCACAAATAAAAAGGGTGCAGGATGAGATGTACCTTACTGCAAAGATCCTGGGTTCAACCTCCAGCAACAAACAAACAACAGCTAAATAAATGGTATGGCAGAGATTGAGTTTCCAAAGCTGGTGTTCCCATCACACCAAACACTGTGCTTGACAGCAGAAAAATACTCACTAAATATAAACATATATTTGAGCACAGAGAGTCAGGTGAGATTTCTACCTTCTCCAAGTATACAAGCCCAAGTTAGGCAGTGGAAGGACCAAAGAGAATATGTGGCACTGTTTTGGGGATGTGGCTACATGGCAAGAAGTTACTCTGCCCAAGGTCAGAGGAGTTCGGGAGCAGTTTTCACAGCCTCAGATGTCTCATCTGGAGAATAGGCACAATAGTCTGTTTCTGACATGTTTTGTGCTGATTATTGTTTCAGTCATTTTGAAGGAAATAAAAACAAAACAGAAAAAGGGAACAAAGGGATATTGCAGAGAACCAGGAAAAAAACGAGGATGAGGTGGTGGGAGATGGGTGTGGGCAGCGTGCTGAGGAGCTCAAATGTCAACTGGCAGGTAAGGGCTGGGCCAGTGGAAATGGTGTGTGGTGAACTGGGAGATTTGCAAGTTCCCATTCTGTACACATCCCACCCAGTATTGATTTATAAGGTCCTTTTCAGGGGAAATTCGTAAAGGAGAAGTCAGCTACAGAGCAGTAGATTCTAGACTTCTTTTTAAAACAAACTTTACAAACAGGTAAATAACTACATAGAGAACTGATGCCTCTCTGATGTTGGGAAAGTTCCATAACCTCTGGCCATCAACCCCTCTTCTATGTTGCCTCCCATAGGCCTCTTCCTAAGCTTCCCAGAAATAAATGGAAATGTTCAGACTCCCAGGGTAGCTAGGGCACACTTCAGGAAAGCTTTGCTGACTTGGAGCATGTCACCCTAACCCTCTGATCACTGGCTTCATCACCTGTGAAATGAACTTGGACTGAGTAGTCCCAAGCTTCCTCACAGCCCTGAGATGTTCTAATTCTTGGTTTCCATGAGGAGAGAGCCACAAAATATTTGCGCTTTCTTGGCCTTCTGACATGGGACACCAAGGGTTCGGAGAGGTAGTCAGGGACTGGGATGACAAGCAGGAGGTGGATGTTAAAGTCCCCTCCCCTGAGGTCTTCCTCCTGGATCACCATCCCTCAGTTCTGGCTGCACCGGCCATGTACTTTTGATAATTTGGCTTCTGATCTCCACTAGCTCTTGAGCCTTTGGGGTAACATGAGAAGGAGAGAAAGTGACAACCAAGAAAAAATGGGGAGATGATAAAAGAGGGGAACTCTTGTCTCATCTTCTAAAGGGGGCATCTCAGAGCTGATGCTCCTGATGCTAAAATCGTGAGTCTTTGCCAGCCCAGAAGCCAGAAACTTCCCTACTTCAGCCCTCCAAAGGCAGGTTGGCCAGGGGATGCTCACTGTTACCTTAAACTTGTGCAGAAAAGAGACCGAAAGGTGCTTTGGCTGAGCTCCCTCTCTCACTTTTAACCACCCTTGCAGAAATGAGACCCAAAAATGGGAAGGGTCATCCACGAAGACAGCACCCCCTAACCTCAGCCCCAGCCTCACCCTTGTCAGGGTGCTGTGCTTTTTTCCAAATGCTTTCAGTTCCCTGCACACACTTCCACATTATGTGATCCTTGGAAAATTAACTAACGTTCAGAAAAGTGAAACCCAAAGTGGTTAGCAGTCAAGGACCATAAATAAGCTTCTGAAACAGAGGAACCATCTATCCTGCTTCTAGAACTGCTTTGTTCACGGCTGCGGGAAAGTCACTCATCCCGAGTGTCCTCATTTGTAAAGTGGGGCTTCACCTCTGTCTCCTGAAGTTGTTCTGAAGATTGAGAAAGTCAGTGCCTGTGCAACTTGTTTATAAACTGCAGAGTGATACCAAGTGTTTACTGCTGGAGATCTGATTAGGGAGGAACCAGGACGGAACTCAGGAACCAGGAGTCTCCTGACTCCAAGCTGATGCCTTTCTTACACTGCTCCATGTCGGAGGGTTCGTGGAGCAGGGGCCATTCCCACCCCTCTTTGGGCAGGAACCCATGACTTCACTGCCACATGATCCGGTACCTAATCCCTGTGGACCACTCATTAGGTAAATCACCATCAGTGGATGTGCACAGTCACCACCTAGGTGGATATTTGTTTCTGGAGATTTTAAAGTAAAATGAAGGAATTTAAGTGATGCGATAAAAAAAAAAAAAAACAGTATGTGTTTACACATTCTTCAAAAATGTTTACAGTAAAAGTATTACCATGAGTCCTTAAAATACTTACCCTTGCGTTGAACATACTGTGCTTGCCACTTCCTGAAGCAGTTCCGTGAGTCCTCTTTCTTGTCTTTTAGTGTAACACTTTTATAGTGTTAGTGTATGTACCAAGCTTGGTATCTCACAACATAGAGGAATGAAGGTGCAAACCAAAGGAGGTTAGGAGAGATTTTATTGGAAATAAGAACAAGATTTTTTCTTGGGGTCTTCCTGGGTTTTTAGTAGGGGTTCTGAGTAGGTAGCCGCTGAGGCTCTTTGTCAAGGGTATTTTATACAGTAAAATCACAACTTGGGTGGCTATGGGTCAAACTACAATCAACCTATAGGATTACAAATGTAAGTCACTACTCTAATAGTGAGCCAATAGGGAACTGAGGCATATAGCGAGGATATACTGGTGAGTGTCATTAACCTCAGCTTATCTATAACTTCCAACACGGAAAGTGGCAAGCACTCAAAAGGGATGGAAGTATGGGTCTGGATGTTCTGGACACCCACATATGCATCTGAGGCATTAGTCAGGCTCCCTGAACCAGGTGGTGCCAATGACGGTATAATCTCAGGCTGCTCTTTATATACTTAGGGAGGCTTGCAGGCCTGGCTATCACATCTCCATCTTAAAGCCTAGCTATCTAGTCTCTATCTTGAGGCCTAGCTGTCTTCAAATTCACCTCCAGCAGCAATTTGGACATATCCAGTCTTCTGAACTAAGTCCCTCGAAGGC